AAAAATGACTTTTTTAAGTTTTTGTTTGAAAGAGTGATAGCTAACTTCTTGAGAAAAGTCAAAATTCTTTAAAACTTTTTTATTCCAAAGTAATGCTCCTCGAAATGAAATACAGTATTTTCCAAAATTAGTTTGATAAGCTGATTGACGAATATTATTATCATTTCGTAAAATGTATTTAGTTTTTTCTTTTTTGTTATATATGAAAATTATATGAAAAGGTACAGGAGAAATATTGTTTTTACATTTAAACATAAAACATATAACGTTAAAAATATTAAGCTCATATATATTTAAGACTTTCATTTCAATTGATAGAGGCTTGGCATGAGTAAATCGATCCTTAAAACTAATAAGGCGTGCAACATGTTTCTGTTGACGATAAAGAGGTTCCAGTTTACTTTTATTAGTACTACCCCACGCAATGTTCGCATAGTTAATGTGACAATGAATGAGCGAATAATATAGTTTAAGTAATGTATGTTTATTTAAAAAACACCTCGCTTTGTACAAAATTCCTATGCTTTTTGATACTTTACTACTCAAATTTTTTATGTGACTTTTCCATGACAAATTTTCATCAATATAAATACCAAGAAAGTTTGTAACTGTTACTTTTTTTAGAAGTATATTATCAATAAAAGCAGTGGCATTTCATTTGGTATAAAATTTTTTTTGTGATTAGGATGGAAAAAAATCCATTTCGTTTTATCAATATTAAGAGACAGTTTATTTGTCTTAAACCAATCAGAAATTCTTGCTAGTTCATTATTGATATTCTGAAATAACAATGTAATATCATTATGAGATAAAAATAAGTTCGTGTCATCTGCAAACATAATCGTCATTAAATTTGAAGCTTTATGGAGATCGTTGATGTAAATAAGAAAAAATAGAGGCCCTAATATTGATCCCTGAGGAACTCAGGTTATATCAAGCAAGTTTACTGATCCACAGGTTATATCAAGCAAGTTTACTGGTGAAACTACATCAACGTATACAAATTGCTTTCGACTATTTAAATAGCTTTTTAACCAATTTAAAACACTTCCGTTTACACCGTAAATCTTTAGTTTATTTAAAAGAATATTGTGGTCTATTGTATCAAAAGCTTTAGCTAAGTCAATAAAAACCCCAACTGTATATTGGGAGTTTTCAAAAGAGTTAGTAATACTTCTTGTAAACTGGAGAACTGCGTGTTCTGTCGAGTTATTGTTTTTGAATCCATGTTGATTGCTATATATTAAATTGTTTACAGATAAATGATTATAAATTCTGTTGCATAAAATTCTCTCCAAGACTTTTGAAAATGCAGATAGAATAGAAATGCGACGATAGTTGCTAACATTAGTTAAATCACCTCCCTTAAATATCAGAATCACCTTTGCTATTTTTAGTTGGTTAGGAAAAATTCCTTGCCTAATAGAACAAGAAAAAATCTTAAAAAGTACATCTTTAATGATTTCATATGATTTAATAACAATATTTACATTGATATCATCCGCACCTGCTGATTTGTTGGGTTTTAGCATTTTAAAAGCGCATTCAAACTCTTCAAAAGTTAGTTCAAACGAACTAAATTGCGATGTATTAGGGATAAATAGATTACTTATTGGATTAATTGCTTGAGGAATTTTTTGGGATAAATTTGGTCCAACAGAAACAAAATATTTATTCAGCTCGTTAGCTATCTCTTCTTTATCATACAAAAATATATCATTTGATTTGATGGTTATAGGCAATGTGAGTGTTCATTTTAAAACTGCCTGTGATTACCTTTATAACTTCCCATGTGCGCTTAGAATTTAATTTATATTTCTCAAGTAAATCATTGTAATAATTTTTTTTAAGATTTTTTCTTTGACGTTCGAGTTGTTTGGCAAAACTTCTATATATAGTTTTACTTTTATCTGTTTTAAGTTTTAGGAATTTAATGTACAATTTTTGTTTGATTTTGGATGATTTTCTTAAGCCTTTAGTAATCCATGGGGATTTTATACTTTTTAATTTACAATGTATTTTGATTTTTGGAAAATTAACATCATATATATCAAAAAAAGTTTTAAAAAATTTGTTGTAAGCCAGGTTAGCATCATCTAAATTGGAAATGTGCCCTCAATGAAGAAGAGACAATTGCTCTTTAAATGTTTCCAAATTCTTTTCATTAAAAATACGTTTAACAAAAATTTGATTTATATTTAATGACGTTTCCATTTTAGTATTAATGGAAAAGAAAACAGGGAAGTGATCAGAAATGTCACTTTTAATTATGCCTTTTTTAAGAGATTCGTTAAATAAATCAGTTGTTATTATATTATCAATCAGGGAAGATGTTGATTGAGTTATTCTGGTTGGTTTGGTGATTAGTGGAACCGCACCATTTTCAAAAATGTCATTATAAAAACTTTTAATGTTGGGTTTTACGTGAGATAAGATAAAGCCACATAATATTCAAACTATTGCATTACTTCTGTATGAACTTGACAGTTGTTGTCATCTTTCATTATTTATTTATAAATGTGTCAGCTAAGTTATTTTTTGAACGGACAAAATTTACGTCAACTTTTTTGTTTTCTTTAATTAATTGTTGCAGACTTATTTTTCTCCCGATCAACGTTTTTGAATTTAATTAGATTTTCCATTTTACATTTTACCAGTCGTTTTTGACTTTATTTAGATTTTCCAATTTTAATTGTGAAATTGATTTACCAGTAAGTGCATCAGAATACCAGCGGAACACTGTCACAAAATTATTAAAAGTTATTATTTTTCCACATCACCACATATAACTCTGCCATGTTTATATGAATGTTGGATGAAGCCATGTTGTGTTTAAAGTATTTTTAAGTAGGTGAAAATTAAAGTAGTCTCCTTGACTGTTAAGTCTTTTTCGCTTTGGTAAAGTAACATAAACAATAAAGAATGAATAACAGCACCCATCGCTAAAGAACTTGAATCAAATTACCACTGATTCACAACTTGAACTTTGCCTCACATACTTTTTGAAGAACACACGTTTTTTCAAAAATAATTGTTTTTCAATTAGTTTAGATATAATTGCTTTTGTGAAAAAAGTTTAATATAATGATCGCTGCCTTTTAATATAGGTCATATGTAATTTTCTTGCATAAACACAACAATAAAACTATGAAATTTTTCTCTCTTTACTCAATAAAAACCTCTTGCAAATCCTACTGAAAATTTAAAAACCTCTAAAGTAGCTATATATAAAGACTCGAGTAATCATATTATAAATACACTTACACTGTACAAAACCATTTATAACAATTATCAATTATGAGGTTTTAAAATGTGTAATCAGCATCATAACCTTAGTTTTAATAATATAATTATAGCAAATAAAATAATCATTGCAGTGTTTTGCCCTTTGAAAATATAAACCTCAATGCTAATGAAGATCACTTAGTATGGGAACAAAATTACCTGCCCAATTGTACTTTCCTGTATAGTTTCGATGACTCATCCCTAACTCTACCTGCACAAGTGTTATTTAATAAAAAATCAACACCTCCTTCAAATTTTCAAAACATTACAAACAAAAAAACTTTTAGTTAGTTCACCATAATTCTGTTATATAGCATAAGGCTGATTTTTTAAACTTGAAAAAAAATTAAATCCAATGTTTTTGTTTAAAAAAAAACAAGTTTTAGGTGAATAAAGAATGAGAGTTAATTAAATAATTGCGTATGTACATACTATTTTTAACACTTTTTTTCCAAATCTGCATATGTACTTTATGGAAGAACCCATTGTTTAAGTTTTTAAAATATTTTAAAGTTTTAAATCATACTATTTATGAGATTTGAAACCAAGTTAATCTTCTGCTAAATTTTTATTTGTTACATGCAACATTACTTGTTTGAAAAGAAATAAAGTCACTTGCCCAGAGATAAAATGCCCTAAAAATGACCCCTATAAAACTCAAAGTGTTCCTTATTTTTACATAGAATCAGGAGTATTGGAGCTCAAAAGTTGTTTAGGAACTTTTAAAAAAATCTTTTTTGTGATTCTTAAAATTTTTTTTTTTTAAGATTCAGTATTACCAAGTTTAAGTAAAAATAGAAAATAATTTTTTTAGCGTTTTTTTGAACTTCTCATCCCTGAACATGCCAAAATAAAAAAACATAAAAAAGTTGTTGTTCCAAGTGTTTCTTATTTTTGCATAGAATAAAAAAGTTGTTGAGTCTGAAAGTTTGTTCAGTTAAACATGTATTTTAGGAGAAATTCCATTTATAAAAAAAAAAATAGTGATCGAATTGAAATTGTGTTTATATAAAATAGTTAAATATTATGCTGGAATAAGCATTAGCTTGAGCTAAAAAAAAAGTATGCACTATATCTAGCTATATAATTGGTTGTTTTTATATAATTATATAAATCCTTATATAACTATATAATTTTTTTAATTTAGTAAGTTTATTTTTTCTGCTAATGTAAATCATCCTTCTTTTTCACTTCCTTTCACTTCTTTCCACTTTACTTAGCTTGACACCAGATCAAATCTAAAATTGTAAAAAAAAAATTTATTTTTGATTTTTTGACAATAACTTTTACTTTTTGTCAGTAAATGCAAATCACTTTCAATATGGATGCAAGTAAAAAATAATTTTTTAGAAAGAAAGCTTAAAGCTGCAATTTATAGAAATCAGATAAAAAACAAAAATAAAAAATCATAGGTTCCAAAGTTAATAGAATCAAACTAGATAATATTTTCAGAAACAAAATGTCTTAAAATTACCGTATATAAGTTTTTGTAATGGAAACAGAGTCAACAGGTCTTTAAGACAAATAACATAATTAATTAGTTAACATAATTAAGTAATTTTTTGTGTGCATAGTTAACTGTATTATAATTAATAAAATAATGTTAAAAGTTATTCAAAAAGGTTACAAAATTTATTCAAAGTGCTTACATCATTAATTTGTATAAAATAAATTTAGAAAACTAGATTTGGCAAATTAATTTTTTTTTCACTTTTAATAAATGGAGGATTGCTATGAGGCTTTACTGTTTACAAATTAAGAAATTCTAAACTTGAGTTGCAAATATAACAACTTAAACAGGTGACTTTTTAAAAACACTTAGGTAAATTTTATTTTCAATAAAATTTACCTAATTTATTATAAACTCATTTCACTAATTAACTGCGTTTATTCAGTTGTTTCTGTTCTTTTAAATAGAAGTAATTAATAAAATTTAGTGTTAATTACTTTCTTTTTTTTTAAATTTTACTGACTGATATTTACCATTTACTATTTTACTGACTGACTTTTACTGACTGACTTTTAATATTTATTATTTTACTGACTGATTTTTACTGAATGACTTTTAATATTTAATATTTGACTGACTGACTTTTACAATAAACTATTTTACTGAGTTTTACTATTACTATTTTACTAACTCTTCCTCTTTACTGCATATAGTATTATGCTTTTTGTTTAGTCCCTAAATTTTGTTTCAAAATTGCCAAAATTTTATCTTTTAAAAATGTATTTTAGGTCAAAAGTTTTGACTTTTTTTTCAAAAAAAAGTCAAAACTTTTGACCTAAAATCAACTTTTTAATATTTTTAACTTCTTTTGATTATCTCAGAGGTTTTGGAATTTAGATTTGCAGTTGCTAATGAGTTGTTGTTGTTTTTTTTAATAAAAAAAAATTTATCTTCTATCTAAATTATCTATAAAAAAAAAGATTTAGCGCTATATAAGTTGAAAGACTCAATAAGAACATATATATATATGTATATATATATATATATATATATATATATATATATATATATATATATATATATATATATATATATATATATATATATATATA